TGAGTCCATTTGTATAAAAAGGGGTGGACCCCTCAACAATATATATATATATATATATATATATATATATATGATATCAATTGGTAATTAGTAGGGATAATTCCAAGAAGGACATTAATCCAAAGAGAGGTTAATGTAAGTAACAGATCAGAATAATAATAATAATAATAATAATAATAATAATAATAAGTAAAGTCAATCCTTAAAAAATCGTTTCAGTTATAATTTATTTCATGAATATATTTAAATATTCATTTCTTCAGATCAAGGTTTTTTTTTTTTTAGAAATGAAATCAATTTGTTCAGAGAAAAAGAAAAGGAAAAGGAAAAAAAGAAAAAGGAAAAATTTTTTTCTTTTAATTTTAGATTGGAATTTTGATTTTTCCTTCTTCGTTTTATTATAAATTTTTTTTTCCTTTTTCTTCTTTTTTCCTCATCCTTTTCTTTTTGTCTGGACAAAATTGATTTCATTTCTAAAAAAACAAAAAACATAACAAATTATAACCAAAATGGATTTTTAAGGATTGTCTTTAATTATTATATATATATATATATATATATATATATATATATAGATAGATAGATAGATATCGAGTATAGATAGGAATCTGACAAAATAATAGGATAAAACCGAGTAGGAAACAGATCTTAATTTAAAATGTTTCACTTTATTTTTCAATTTATTAGCTAACGAAGCTTTAATAAGATGAAACATGGTAGACTGAGATCTATTTCCTACTTGTTCTTTTCCAAATATATATATATATATGTGTGTGTGTGTTTGTGTGTGCATATGTGTATTTGTGTGCATATGTGTGTTTGTGTGCATGTGTGTGCTTGATATCGGTGTACATATATGTTTCTTCTATTTCTCTCTTTCTCTCCTACTCTCTCTGTTGTGGCATCCCTATGAATGATAATGGGTTATGTCCCCATTCACATAATACAGTAGTAAATACTGTATGTTGGTCTGCAGTTGGAGATTGATTATGGAATTCATTTAACTCACTTCTAGTAGTTGACTACATCTACGCGCCGCTGTCGAATCTTATATGTGTTGTTCTTGTCCTAAGTATTATCGTTCATTACCAACTTTCGTGGGATTATTCTATTCAGTAACCTTCGTTACGTTACAACTCTCTCTTGCCCACACGCACACAAACGCACAAATATATATATAGGTTTTTTCAGTAGGTATCATTTGCACGTGTGATTTCGTTTCACACGTGGTTGAAATGTATAAAATCCGTACATATTCTAGATGGTCTTATTTTAATGCCTTTTTTTGTGTGATTCGAATGTGGACTAGGAATGTTTTTACGTGAAATGGAGGAAAATAGAACTAAATTGATGCTCTTTTTGTTGCCGGAAACGGAAAGAAAAAGCTACACAAACAGCAAAGAGGATGTCTGCCATTTATAGAGTAATCGAGAACGTTCCGCCAGACCTGAAGTCATTGATGATGGCTAAATTGAAATGCCAAAAATAATCCAAGCAACACGACACGGGACATCGCGCAGGTACTCCACGTATCTCATATGATCGTTGCAAGGCGTTTGAAAACTCATGGGAGCATGAATCGCTACATTGTTTGGGGGCCTCACAAATTAACGGGGAAAAGAGAATTTAATATACGGCATTTCAATCTGCGATTCTTTGCTCAAAACCAACATATCCACATGGCCCAGTGGATAAAAGCGTTGTGAGTTCAATCCCTGGCCGCAGCAAAGGTGAATAAAAAAAAACTTGAGTTACTAAAGGGAAATAACTGAAACTGAAATATCCAGCAAAGGCATGGCACGTGGAACTAGAACAATCTACTCCAGTGCACGAAATAAAGGGTTCGGTTCAAAATTTCAACAATGTATTTATAGAAAAGTCACAGAGGGGCAAACTTATGGCGGTGGAAAAAAAATGACTGAAGCCGAGCCGCCAGATCAAGACCGACAATATTGCTGATTTTATCATGAGCTCAAGATAAATAGCAGGGGCAACGGACCATATATGGCGGCAGTATTCTAAGCACGGGCCAATGGTAGACTTACAGATATTGTATGATGACAATTCGAAAAAATCTTAGGTTTCATCTTCCGACTTTATCAAAGCAAACAATGAAAGCGAAATGTTTTTGTTGTCTAGATTTATTTTATATAAAATACAATTGTGGCACAAGGCCGAAAATGGCGGGGGATGACCTGAGGCTGGGCATCACTATCTTATTCCTAGCTAATCAGATTCACGACCCATTCACTCATTACAATTTGTACAGTCATCAAAAAAACTTATCCATCATCAGTCAATTGTCGATATATCCCAATACCGCATACTTTTAGGGGACTTACAAAAAAATACCCCATGACATAAAGATTAAATGTTTTTGTTGTCATAGTTACATTAAATCCAAAATTTAAAAAGAGAGACGCCACTGCCTAAGCCTCTTTCTGGCTAATGTTAACTTCCTTTATACTAAGAGTTTTTTTTTTCCATATCGACAATATTCTGGGAAATTTTACTACTGATAATATGTATGAAAAACTTTAGTTTATCCTGGATATAATTTCTATTTTTCTTAGACGGGACTTTTTTTAATTGGATCATATACTGAAATCATTCGGATCTTACAGTTACAAACAACAATGTCGGCAGCTACCAGTCTTTCGGACAAGTATACGATATCGGATTGGCCGGTCATTGTGAACTGCGAAATCCTTCCCCACGTAACCAGACGTTGAATTCAGACTAACACTGATACAAATTTGATC